AAATCTGTTTACGGATCACAGATGCTTCACTATTTCCTCTTATTATAACATCAATTATTGTTTGACAAAATTAGGTTATGGAAAAAAGTTTTTGATCAGCAATACTAGAGACTTTTGAAATGTTTACACTGGTCTACTTTAAGTCGGTTTATATTGCTCTAGTTTATTAAATAAATGTACTCAAATCTTTTCTTCGATCAATTTTTAGGAAAACAAATTTAATTCATTTTTTTTTGGGTTTCTTGATGGACATATGTAAAGATATAAATACTTTTCTGAAATAGGTAAGAAAGTCGTGTGGGTGGACACACCAGATTTTTTTTCTTGAATTCAGTTGTTCACCTGTATTTATTATTATGATTAAATAATGTTGTCTCATATTTTTGTTAAACTCTTTACTTTTTTCTTTTCTATTTTACAGTGTTCTTAATGGTCAAACACTGGGAGGTTATATTTTAGAAATATTTCTAACAATATATTTCATTCGATATATGGACCAGTTTCAAACGGAAAAGGAGTTGAGCCCAATTTTGTCTTTTTTTAAGGTGGTCACGTATTCTCTTTTATAGGAAGCGATAACACAAAATATATTCATGTCTGTTTATTAAAAATTGTTTCATAGTAAACTAGAGAAAATTTCATTCAAATACAAATAGACTTTGTCTTTGTGAAAACCATTTAGAGGTGAATTTTGAACGGCCAAATGACGCTGGTCTGGGTTTTTCATAAAATGATGGATTATTGGCGATGGATTGTTAATAGATCATTTACATCATTATAAACAATAAGTTGACAGGCGCCAACAGACATAAAAAACATTTATTTATTTTATTTTATTTTCGATTAAATTTGCCACTGCGTTGTAACGCATCAAGCAAATGTGTTGGCTCTTTTTCTTGGTACTTGCTTAACTTGTCAGCAGAAGATCTCTAGGTAGGAGGAAGATAGAGATAGAACGAATGGATTTGGATGATCGAGAGTAGAAGAATGAAATGTTGCGTACTTGTTGTGTATGTAGGATTTTACTTTTGGTATGTTCATGTCTGTGTGTATGATGTGATTTGAAATAAACCAAGGAGCATTGACGATTTTAAGAAGTATTTTGGATTGTGTGGTTTGAATTTTATTTATGTGTGTGTGTTTTGCGGAACCCTAAAGTTCTGCTCCGTATGTCCAAATAGGTTAGTCGCTTGTTTAGTATGTTGAGTGTAGATCTGTAGTCCAAAAGATGTGATAGTTGTTTGTATTGTCTGGTAAGGTTGTTTTTTTTTAATTTAGTGGGTATGTTTCAGGTGAGGTTTTTGACCACTCATAGTCCAATACTTATATATATATATATATATATATATATATATATATATATATATATATATATATATATATATATGATATGATATATGAGACATAATAGATATATGTGTTATAAACAATCGGTCATTATCAACTTAGCAGATAAATTTTTGAAATTTTTTTTTTTTTAAATATATTTCCTTAATGAATAAAACGTATATTTTCTTAATTAATTTACGAAGAAAACTGTCAGATCACAAGAAAAAGAAGAAATTAAAACTTTGTAATAATTTCTCGGTTGTAATTTTTGCTGAAAATGCATTTACTGTTCTAAAACAAACCTCAAATAAATTGATATGCGATTACAGCACATTGAACAAGGAAGATTTTAATAAAATGGAATCTGAAGCATAGTTGTAGGATGATATAAAAACATCACGAGTAATCCATGATTTAATGAAAAAAACAACTGCGTTGTTCGGTCCCTCAAAAGTTACCTCTAAATGGTTTTGACAAAGACAAACTATATTTGTATATATATAAAAAAAAAAAATTGTTTAGCTTACTATGAAACAATTTGTAATTACCTAACATAATATTTTTGCTATGGCTTCCATAAATAAACGAGATCACCTTAAGAAAACATAAAATTGGACATGAATCCTTTTCCTTTCGTAGGCTTACACATCAAATGAAATTTTTTGTTAGAAATTTTGTCTAGAATCACCTCCTAGAGTTTGGCCATTAAGAACTGAAACATCCTATACATACAAAAAAAATTATAGAATTAAAAATAATTTCTACATGCATAGATGAATTGAAAATTCTTACCTTGTTGTCACTGAGAAAGGATCCTAAATCTGTCTATCTATCCAAATGTTACTCGTTTGTTGGAAAATGACAGGATCTCAGATTACAATTATTGATTTTCTTTTGCCTCAATTATTAATAGTCCTTTTACTCTTAAACTGATTTAATCTTAAATCTCATTCCATATTCATTATCGAGAATAAACTATAGATCATTACATTTATGTTACAGTAATGAGTTTTCTGCTTTCGATGTCATACATTTTTTTTGATCAGATTTATAAAAATGTTTATTCAAAATATGAGTAGTCTTTCTTTATTTCTATTCGATGTATAGTCGAATAGAATCAATACAATAATTCTTAAGAATAATTGTATAATTCTTGAAACAACTTATCACATTCAAACCAATTGAAATAACTCGAGAGGTGGGTCTTTTAATTCTATAAGGATTAGTAGTGGAAGAGGGTGAACCCTTATAATCTCCTATAAGGTTACCCCTGAGACTTCCGTGGGTTTGAAGTTAAAGTTTGTAACTCATTTTAATGAAACCCTGTTTCCATATGAACAAATCGAATTTCTTTGTTAAGAAAATACCAGACTTCCTTTTTCAAATTTTAATTATAAAGTATAGCGCAATGTTGGATTGTATTTTATTTTGTTTGCAGTGTTGGGAGTATTGTATAATTTTTCTAGAAGAAATATTAGATTTTTTCTGACCAATGTAGAAGGGCAAGAAAAACATTCATAATACAGTGAAGATACCTTGCAATAATTTGAGAAAATGAAGTAGTCTGTAAGCTCATAATGATTAAAGCTTAATTATCACTGGTTTATTGGAAACCTCATAAGCTATTTAAGCAAAATATATTTCTTTCACGAAAACTGAGCCATAGCCATTATGTTTTCTCTTTGGTGGACTTTTATTTTTCTTCCTTAGTTTTTATTGTTGTACAGAAGGATTTTTATTCAATATTGTTCTTTTTTATTATTATTTACATGATATTTACAACTGTATAAAAAAAATACATCTAGTAAATTCATACATGTATATAATGACATGAAACACATGTTGAGAAATTACTCATTGGCAGCACTCTAATAATATGTCTATATTAGGAGATCATGGTTCCATCTTTTCAGACGCCTTGGAGGGTCTTCAGGAATTGAATAGGAAGCAAAGTTAGAAACAAGAGGGTTGGGATGGTTATGAAGTTTATTATGGAAGGATAGATATCTGGATTGGGCCAAATCTGATACTTAAGGAACAATAAGGTCATTGTGGATGATTTTATTTGTAACATAGTAAGGAGCATTGAGGATTTTACGAAGTATTTTGGATTGTAAGGATTGGATACGAGAGGAATTTGAAGGTTTGGTGGAGCCCCATAGCTCAACTCTGTAAGTCCAAATAGGCCTTATTATAGTCATGTATATGGGTCTTTTGTAATTAATTGGAAGGTTGGATTGTTTGTCTAGTAAGTGTTGAAGTAGTCGGAAACGTCGAGCTGTTTCTTGTCTTTTCAGTCTGGTATGAGGATTCCAAGTTAGACGTTAGTCAAGGTGGAGTCCTAGGTAACGGATTTGTTCAACAGGAATAAGTGAGGTATTGTTTAATTAGGATACTGAAGGACAAGAAGTCATTGGTTTACGAGACGAAGGGAATATTAATTTAAAATTGAAATATTACGTTTGAATTAACATATTACGTTGTACCAGATTATTTATTTATTACGAATTAAATTCAGAAATACTCTGAACTAAAATATTACTTTTTTTTCATAACTTATAGTTTTGTAATTTAGAGTTTTGAATGTAAAAACTCTAATTCAATTAATGACTTAAATATAATCACTAGAAAAGAAATCACTTAGCTCCCTTAAGTATATCTGATATTGTTAACTCATATCTAAATTCAATATTTAAAATGATTCGGTTTGGAATACAAGAAGGTGTAACGAGAACCGAATCAACGAATCCATTCCGCTGAAAAATCGTACCCTCACAAGTAATTCACAAGAAAAAATCACGATTCACTAGAACGTTCTCACACATCTCTCGGTTCTTCACTGATTCTCATCTAGTTTCTTAAGAAATTTAACCTTCCAGTCGAATAGCTCTGTTTGCTGAGTTGTTTCGATTACTTTCGGAATCTACTTTTCGATAAGCATTTCACAATTCGGATTTACATATTCACTCGTCGAACATTTATAACCTATACATATTTAAATGGCAATAAAAATATTCAGTCCAAAATCTAAAATGTAAAATAAAAATTCCCGTGCAATTTAATCTTCTTTCCTACTAAGATTTCTGACATTTTATTTGTAAATATGTGAATCAGAACCTTTTAATTTCAATTTGTTAATAAAAAAAAAAAACGTTTTCGCCTGAACATAATATTTGGAAATCTTTGTTGTTGTTTTTGTCAATAAAAAGTTCTTATTTAATTAAAAAAGACAGAGAGAGTAAAAAGATCAATTGGAGAATGGTTTATATGAATCGTTTTAACGAAAGGATTGTATCGTTGGGAATCAGTTCGGTTAAAAGACTCGAGTTTCCCATCTCTAGTTTGAATAAGGATATGAGTTAAGTCGAGAGACGAACGCATACCACACATTCACAATAAAACTGAGGGAAAATAGGAAGAGGAAAATACGAGGAACTTATGCGGAGAATGTGGAGTAAGGAGATGAGATTCAGATAGTATGAACAATTTGAGCTACTTACTTATTGACTGCCGAAAATGTAGGAGTCGAAGGGTTATGAGTTAGGAGTTTCAGAACAAGGTTTGGTCAATACATTAACCAATACCCAAGTTTTTAACAGTTAAACTAAATGTGATAAGAATCAAAATTAGTAATTGCGGAGCTACTGAAAAATACAAAAAAAAACAACATGTAACAAGGAAGATAATTTATTTCATCAAAACGAATACATATACAATAAATTAATCAGGTTTTAAACATACAAATATGTACAGTTTATATACACAGCCAAGAAAGTTTATTATACTAAAGATATTTACAGTAGGTATACATTTATTCTACAATACTTACGAAGTGACATAGATATAAACATTTTATCAAAAACTATTTATATGTTTTAAGAGCTATCATGTCATTTGATAAAACCTAAACACCTATGAAGTTTATAGTTAATTGCTTACTGGTCTGGAATTAAGATATACAGTATCAAATAATTCATATATAAGCACGTATACTCACTTTAAGGAATGTTTACTTACATACGTAGATCTCATTTCATATTTTCAATACGAAATATAAAACATATTTAATATCTTATAAAGAATTGAGCTTAAAATTTAAAACTTCTCGTAACTAAAAGTTAAATCTATCAGGTCAGTTTATAAAATTTGTCTATGTAGCTGATTTAATTTATCGAAAATATAACTTTCAGTGACAATGAATTGATATATTTTTTATATAAAACCTTTATTTTCATATTTTGAATGTATCTTTCCTAGTACTGTAAAATTAAAATAAATAAATAAATAATTCTTTAAAAATGAAATCAAGATATACCTTATTGTAATTCATTAATACGTTGGTGGACAAAATTAACACATCACTTCATTTATGTAGCAATCATCTTATATTCTATATATGTGCTTTTATTTACTAACATATGCATAGACATCTTATATATTATTTCTGAATATAGATCTCCGACTCTCAGGATTGATAAATTTTGACGAATGAGATATCAATAAATAGGGAATATCACGAAGAATGTGCGAATTGTAATTTTGATTCCCAATTTTATTTGATTAAAATAAAAGTGAATATTAAAGTGAGAGGTTTCAAACCATGCGATGCTGCCAAGTCGACGGATTAATACATTGCAATGGATTCATAATTTGCGAATAACTGGAAAAGTACACAATTTTATTATTAGTACTTAAAAGCTTACTAAATTCCCTACAAAAAAAAAAATGATCGAAATCGGACGATTTGGTGAAGAACTATAGCGTTCTAAACATATTTATTCTACTACAAAGATTTTGCCCCTCATTGGGAATTTAAGGTTTTGAGAAATAATCATTTTCATTCTATGTGCTGTATATAATGTATCTATTAGTAATTATTATAACTAATTTCAAAAACATTTTATTTTGTCTAATTATTACATTTATTTTTATTTCTATAAATATGTCTTCAACTGAACGCTCTTTTATGTTAATGTCATTCAATTACATTAGCTGTTATCTTATTATTGAAGATAACATTAAGATCTTTATTATTGAAGTTTATCATTTTAATGATTTACTTAATGTTTCGATTATTTTTAATGATAAAGCAATACGCAGCCTGCTAGGACTAACAACTCTTTCCTGAGAATTTGTGCCTTTTATCTTTTGTCTTTTACCGTCATCAGATATTTAAAGCAATGTTTAGAAGCTTTTATAAATTTATGATAATCCAGTGGTGGAAAAAGCTTATATTTGAATTAAACTGAAGTTTAATGAAAGTTTATTTTCATTAAGGTCATATTATAACCAAAAATCAATCCAGGAGCAGGGCATCGCCGTAGAAGCAGGTTTTGGACACTCCAAGGCTCACTTATTTGTGGCTCACTCTCCTCTCCATAACGCAGGAGCAGTTTTCTTCAAGCAAATAATGTAATAATTACGTTAATCAATCAATTGAATTAAATAAGATTAAATGGTTACTTTTTTCTGATCATAAATATTTTCATTGTTCTTTAAAAAACATTATTTTTGTATTGCGCTCCATAGGAGAATAGTTATTGAAGCAATACTAGTTTTTAATGCAGCAACCGTTGTGGTCTTCTTTTCACTTGGACTCACATAAAAAACCGACTTGAACAAAGTCATAATACATCGATTATAGTTTAGAGGAGTGGAAATGAGTTATTGGTAGTGAAGACGCGAGGGTGGCTCTTACGCCATCAGATCATTAGTGGATCAGGAGAGGATCGAGCGCTCCTTTGAAGAAAACATAAATGAAATTTTGAAATAATTATATAATTATTTATAGATTTGCTCCATAATGAAACAAGTAAGAAGTATTATGTATTTTGGAACCCGTTTCTCCAAAAAGGAAACACATAACCTGCAAAATCATATTACTGATTGACTGATTTAAAAAAAAAAATTGCTTATTTGTAGCATGTATTACCGAATATTATTGATGATTTCGCTAGTAATCGAAAAGTATTGAAACTGAAATGCTTTTGCAACGAATTAAATTTCAAGAGCGTTTTTGGAACAAAAAAGTTGTTTGGGATTCGGTTTAGAGAGAAAAAATTTGTTTTCGGAGGAAAAAGTTATGAAAATTAAACAATATTTTTTTTTATCTCTGGTACGAGAAAATACATTTATTTTAAATTTTCAGTTGAAAAAAGGTTTAAAAAAACTTTATGAGTTTTTTTTTGATACTCATTGCTTTTGATAATAAACATTGCTTGAAAAACGACCAGTTCTTGACATAAATTTATCTCCAAACCACTTTCATTTTAATTTTAAAAAATTTAGATTTCTTTAAAAAATTGCAGCATCGGATTCATCAAGGGTTTATGCATAGGAATCGATACTTATTCCGTTTTCCAAAAAAATCGACTAGAGTTCACTTTTGAAATAAGCGACTCAATTGTAAATATAATTTTTTATATGTTTTCTTGTTTTTATATTTAGTTAAGAATTTGATTTTAATTAATGCAAATGAAGGTCGAGTAAATATTTTCCGCTGTGTATCATTTTTGTCAGTTTTGAGTTATATAATGCCTTTTTAAAGTGTTTTTTTGTTTATTGCAAAGGTGAAACTTGTTAATTAAACATTTTATATTAGTACGTCTAAATGTCTTCAAATCCTACTTGAACCTGGAAAATATTCAGAATTTACTTGCTTACTTTTTCTTTAGTACACCGTTGAGCATGGTTTGGGTCCTACGTAAAACAGTAGAATTCTTGTCTTCATTGATCATATGGTTACTTCATTTTTCATAAATATGGTTTATAAAGTATTTATATCAAGTTAAAGTACTATGAATAGGAAGCGGGGTAGTTCAGTGGTTGAGCACTGACTTCCAGAGCTCCCAGGTTCGAATCCCGGCTGATGGCTAGTAATTTTTCATCAGCCGAGGGTCGACCCTGGGGCTGGTAGATCCCTCTGGAGCAAATCCAGACTCTATAAAGTGGGTACCCTTAATTAAATAATTTGTTAAGGTGAAAAACCTGGCATTTGAGCGTGATATTGGCCCGTCACCTCCCTGCAAAGCCGTTGGACCTTGTAACAGTACCAACTTCCTCACATTGTACTGAATCCCAAGAACCTTCGTGGATCGTTAGAGGTGTAGGAAAAAAGGAAAGTACTATGAATTCCTTAACCATGCTAATGCCGAGGTAATGCGTTAATTTTGTCCACCAGTGCATTTAATGAATAATCTATCTAATGATGATTAATTATCTTCCGATAAATAATTATCTCTTAAAATTTTTTAGGATTGCCATAGTTAAAGATATCGAAGGACAGAGTTAAAAAATAAATTATGATCGAAGAATGTTATTAGTTTGCCAATATTTACTTGTACTCAGTGGAGTAGCTAGATCAATTATACCTCTTACTGTATTCATTCTTGGACCATTACAGACAGTGGAGAAATATCTCTAGAGTTATAAATGATAAATAGTTTGAGGTATTACTTTTTCAAATTATACATACAAAACTTGGACATAAGAAACACTATTAACATTTAAATTGATATTTACTCGATAGCCAAACTCTTATGTATAAGTACAAGAGCTAGAAACTACTGAATGATTTTTTACAATAAAGTACAAATAATTGAATATTATTAATACAATACCTCAAGAAATTCAAGTATTAGTTTTATATAATCAGTTTATTGATTATTTATTATTCAGTATTAATGACATACCCAATTTGATACGAATTGAGGAAGGCGGAAGCTAAGTGATCCAAGTAGATTTTTATTTCTTTCGAAATTGTGTTAGGGGCCGAAATTAACACTACATATATAAATGTACTTAGTGGTGAAGAGAACCTAGAATAAAATAAGGTTTTGAACAGCTATAAGTAATAATAAAATTTGTTTGAAGATTATTACTACAGTCCGGTGCCAAAGTTACTACTGTCCTACAAATAATAATAATTCTTTTAAAGTTCTAAATTTATCGTTAACGTAGAAACAAAAAAAAAAAAATAATAAAAAAACTATATCAATTTAAACAAAATCATTTCATTATACTAAAATTGTTGGAATAGATCTACGTAAAATAAAAAATATCCGGATACTTGGCCCTCTTGGTTTCTAAACCATCCTTAATTCATCATGACAATTATGCTTACCTGATAAAATTTCTTTTCATCATCTACCAACGTTATCAACTATCAACTTAAGTAAGGTACATGCAATTTTGGGTTTAAAACAAGATTGTCTAATTGATAAAATACAACAAGACCATTTCAATAATTAGAAATAAACATTGTAATATAAAGTATACTATAACTAAATTATATTTTTATATAATTTATAATATAAGTATAGTTACCAGTGGCGGATTTACGTAAAGGCAGATCACTTGCCTGTGGCGGCAACGTTTTTGAGGAGCGTTGAAGTTTGATTGGAATTCTATATTTAGATTCAATCAAATTCGTAAAAGATGAGCTAAAACTTCTATATAATAAGCTAAGTCGAACATATAAATGTAATAATTATCTTTACTTAACTTTTAGTCAATGATTGTTTTTTTTTAGACAAAAAAATCATAAAATGAATCCGCTCTTGGTGGCAACACACAATATTTTATATGGGAAATAAATAAAATTAGTTTCATACTAATATGAGGATCTATTTATGCCTTAGTTGGTATTTATGAGCTATGTTTGTACCCATTTGATTATAATTTTTGGGAAGTTCTGTTGCGGTTCTTCAAAGGTGAATTCCCTTAAACGTTTGCTCACACACAAACACACAGATACACATTCACACACACAGATGCCTATATGAACATAAAGTTTACTTAACCTCAACCAATTACTAGAATTATTTTGTCGTGGTCACCTCCTTTTTTCAACATTGCTCAAAAGTTTTCTAAAGCCCTTTTTTTATTAAAAGAAGAAAAACATAAAGTTTAATGAAATCTATTGTTGGAAGACCCTATGGATAACTTGAACCCTTAAATGAGAAAATTACTGAAGAAAATAAGTATGAAGTAAAACAAGCTTGGAAATTATTAATTCTTTTCTGGACGGATCTTACTCGTTTTTTTAAAAATATTCAAAGTGAATATTAGGAGGTTTTTTGTTATTAGCATGAAAGTTCTTTGTGCGAAGATTCTAGATCGGTGCGGTGTAGGTTTAATTCCCATCTGACTCAGTAGATATTTCTTTTATCTCAATTAAGTAAGTATGTTTCATCTTTACTACTGATACGTTAAACAGATTAAAAGGAAAATGTATTCAGGCAAGAGATATGTATGCATAGAACTTTCAAAATTTAAAATACAAATGGAATAAGGACATATATGAGTATATCTAAAGTGTACTGTGACCCTACCCCACTGTGTACTAGTAACAAAATAATTATTATGCATTACGAAACATAACAATGATTGTTATGAAATACTTACTTAATAGCAGACAAGAAATAGCATAATATTAAAACAAATTAAATAGCGAAAATGATTATTTTTTTGTTTTAACATTATTATCGTTACTCAATATCGATATTATTATTCGACAAATTTATGCTTAAATTTATATAACCTTAATCTCACAGTTTTGTTGTGAATAAAAAATAATTATATTATCTTTATTAATACTCCTTCAGCGATTTTGATTGGCATATTTAAAAATTATGAGCGCATTTGTTTGAAATGATTTTAAAAAAATAAAACTTATGTTTTTAATCTAATTCCCATTTTTAAAATTAATTAATACAATTTTGAAGATTGATTATTTCTTATTTGTAAATAAAACCTCGTTTGTCCTCTTTATTTTGAAATTATCGTTTCATTATAGAAATAATTAATATATTTCGTATGCACATGTAATTAATAAAAATACAGGTACTTTTTTATTTCTATTCGAAATAATATTTTGATATCAATATTTATCCAAGTCTGCTTAGCATATATTTGTGTACCATATAGAGGATATAATACTAAAATATTTTTCTTTAATTGAAATATATGAATTTGATTTTTTTTTAAGTATCATTAAAAGTTGTGATTTATACCATACATCTAGAAGCTATTTAAACAGAATATCTGAAGAATTGGATAAGATATTCTAAATAATAATTATTGAAATTATTAAAAAAATAACCTAACTTCTTTGAATGTCTTTTAGAAACATATATAAGTAACCTAAGCATAATTAATTTATTTAAAAAATAGTAAGTACCTAATAATAATAGAACATGATTTCCGATATTTAAAATGGATTTATTCATAGGTTCATCATAGAAATTAATTCATCGGATCACATAATACAACATATGATATTTTCTTATTATACAGGCTTTATTTCGAGCTCATTATATTATTTATAGAGGGTGAGATAGTCTGGCGGATTAGACAAGATTTTGGTTTGACAGAAAAATAATGATATGATTGCTTTGTAAATCAGGCTGATTACCATAGACTGTCCTCTCAATCCATCATGGGCTTTAGTGCGATAAATGAAGATTATACGCAGGATATACAGTGGACCCTATACGTTCAGTCGGAATGACATTCCGAGGGATTATTGAGTGTAAGGTTGATTACTGATGGAATGTACAAATGAATTTCCAAAAATCCCGAAATTCAAGCTTCAATCACGAGAAGGTAGGATAGTTTACCTAGATCTCACTAAGAATGAATATTCCTAATTACCCTTTAACATTTTTTTTTCTAATGATTTTATTGAGTATTAGTCTGCCACACTGAAGGGCAGTTTAAAATCTTAAAACAGTTTTTTATATCCGTATATGTTTATGAACCATCTTCAAATAAAATAAATAGCTTTTTTAATTTATTTTATAGTGATATCACACCGAGTGAGCTGCCGCTGGGTAATGCCACACTGATCTTCGTAATGCCTTTCATGACATTATTTTTTCCAATCAACCTCAAATTCACTGGTTGTCATTACCATTATGACAGGTGTGAATAAAAAAAAATTATAGTAAAATTGGCTATAAATTAAAAAAGAAAAGAAAACCAGATTTTTTAATTATGTATCATACTTGATAGTTATTCTTCTTTTCTTTCCAATATATATTTATGACTTTTAACATTTACTAAAACGATTTTTGGGCATTATGATGTGATTATCATAGTTACAATTTTCTTTTGATGTCCAATGCTATAAAAGATAATGGCCAAATAAACTTTTTTCTATTTAACACACACTGCCTCGTGTCTCAACGTCTACAGAGCTAAAATGATATCAATCTGACTGATACATATAGACCATCATGATTGAAGTGATTCTTGTCATTCCTTACTGACCGTGTAAGGTCTTAACAATTGAATATCAGCTATTTAACATTTAAATAGCTTAACAACCTAAAACCTTGGGAAAATATCTGAATTAATGATGATTTCCTATAATATTTGAAATCCCAGAAACACAAGTTAAAATATTACAAAAAATCAGTAATAAATATTATTATTATTTCTTGTAAATACATTACGAGAAATAATGTCTTTCTTCGTCAAAAATAAAATAAAATAATTATAATAACGAATACAGACAGAGAAAGTTTTCGTTTATGATTTATCAGACTTAGGTTAGATAACAACTAAAGTTAACCACTATCTAAAACGGTAGTAGATACTTAAAACTAGGGTCTTGTAAAAAATAAAAAAAAGGCTCTGTTTATAAATAAAGACTAGGAAACACTTACATAGATACGATAGCTCGCTTACACTGATTTACTTACGACCTAGGGCTCCCTCAAGGGAGCCTAAGTACCTGAGAGGGGAGGAAGATGAGTAGCTCAGACGGTGGAAGTGCCGTGGGTGGTGGTGCCGTTGTTGGCGGGGTGGGTGGCTTCGGGGAGGGGGCCGAGGGAGTGCTGGCGGGCGCAGTCCAAGGAGGTGAGGGTGGTGAGGACGGAGCCCCTCCCCGTGGGCCGCTGCCCCCTCGTGGTGCCGCCCCCCGGGCCCCCGCCGCCCCCGGTCCCGCCGGCCTTCAGCCGAGCAGCACGCTCCGTGCACAGCCCGTACCTGCAACATACACTTTATATTTCAGAGTTCATTAAGCGATGGTTTTATCGGAAGGCCATTTCTGGCCTTGTTATAAGGAAATAGTGTTGCTCAAATGCGAGACCGAGATGAGTCTTGGACTTGCAAACTAAGTCTTGGTCTTGATCTTGCGCAAGAGTCTCGCCACAGTCTTGCAGTTACTTACTAGCTTCTTACTATGAAATATTACTGTAATTATTTACATACATACACTTAGATAGTTAACTTGCCAGCGTTTCGCCACTTAAAGCATTATAAGGGCAGAAAAACACTTATATGCAGAAAGGAAAAAAAAATTTTGCTGTAGACATTTCATGAATCCATCCAAATACATACTGAAGAAAAGAGAAGGTTCTATTAACAACAGCTTAGGAAGGTTATATTGAACATCTGATTAGCAGAATTACAAGGAAAAAATGCAGCAACCATTTTTCTTTCTCTCTGCATATAGATGATCTTGGTATAGCTGCCCTGATGCTGTCTGAATTGGCGAAACTTAGGCAAGTTAACTTTTAACCTTTAAGCTGGAGACTGATGACTGTGTAGTTTTGGATTTTTTTAAATTTATAACATAATTTCTTCAATTTTTGTTTTATTAATATCAGCTTATTACTATGAGATATTACTGTATTTTTTTTAGATTGGAGAAACCTAACTAAGCACGAATGAAAAATTAGAGGAGTTAAATGCAAAAGTATGTCGGTTATACCAATTATTAACATATAGTAACTAAGATTGTCAAGTATTAGTAACTATTTTGCCTTAATTTTCATTTAAAAAATCGATTTTTTTTTATCAGTCCTGGTCTTGGTCTTGCTATAGTTAGGCGACCTTGATCTTGTTCTTGCAAAGTGCAAGACCAAGACCGATTTTGGGCAACACTAAAAGGATATATTATAATTCTATGAACGAATACAAGAGTTATGCCCAATAAGTCTTTAACCAAGTAGTATACAACACGACAAGTAATAGTTTACTAGGCGTGACTATTAAAAAAAAAAAAAACTTTTATCTATTCATTTACTCCCACCTTCAATAAACAGCCATCCTTTATCCCTACTATACTCTGAAACAGTGCTGGGTGTCTTCTGTCATCTCAAGACGCTTGTCGTTTTCTCTTTCACAGCTCCGACGGTCTCAAATCTTGTTCATTTTAACATAGATTGACGAGGCGTGGTATTTTACTAATGAACAGGTAGCGAAACGTCCATCCATGATCTGGAAGAGGCCAACTTCACCATTATACAGTTCAAGAGAAGATAGCAATGGTTCCATAGTTTGCGACTCTTAAATTACATCTCGAACACTCCAACTTAGTAAAGCTAACCAGACTTAGGATAAACCATGGTAGAACTAACAAATATCCACATCTAATAGGTATAAGCAAGCGTGGTTACTGTCCAACATGCGAATATCAGGGGAATCCAAGACACATCAAATGCAAAAGATTCGAGAAATGAAGAAGAATTACTCTAGGATCGCAAACTACGAATGATGGAGCTAACTTTCTTCGGTCAATGACATGAAAGCAGTTATATAATAAAAGTCGCCTTTTATTTTCATTTCAGTGTTATGAAATTATTGTTACATCAGTTTTTAACTATTTGTCAAAAGTTCAAGTTCTACATAATTTCATCAATTTCATCTTACAGTGACGATTAAAATATTATATTGGCAAAATAGGACTTGCTTTGTCAAGTCTTAAAGTTTTTTTTTTTTTTTTTTTTTTTTGACTCTATATCTTCATCCGCACCTGTCATGGTAGTGACAATTAGCAGATTAGCTGTTTAAATTGAAAATGACATGATAGGCATGACGAAGAATGGAGCCCAGCAGCACCTCTTCCCTGGCCTGTTTATATCCTAAAATCAGGAAAGGAGATCTCTCATCCAGCTCCTTTTCAGTCGCCTCCTGATGAGCATTTCAGCCGTGGCCATGTCTTTGATAAGTCCATTGTGATGTCCGTGTAGTTTTAGATGAAATCGGCAGTAAAGAGTACGTATGTGCTGGTCAATGGTTGGTTGTCTTAGGTCGGTATTTAAAGTCTTATTGTTGACGTACCAGAGAGCTGCAGTTATTAGTCTTAAAATTTTAGATTGAAAGGATTGTAGTTTTTGTAAGTGAGTCTTTTTTGCTGAACCGTAAATCTGTGAGGCGTATGTCCAAATGGGTTTGAGCAGGTAAGTGTATGTATTTAGTTTTTGTCTAATTTTCAATTTTGATTTAGAAAACAGTGAGTACAGTATTTTCAGTCGCTTGTTCAAACTCTTTCTTTTCATTTTGATGTGTGGGCCCCAGGTCATCCTTCTGTCAAATATTAGTCCGAGGTAGCGTATACTGTCCGTCTGAGGAATTGGATTCTTGCTGATATAAACTGGTGGGCATGTTTCTCGTCGAAGCGTAAATGTTATGTGTTGTGATTTGTTATGATTTAATCTAATTTTCCAGAGTGAATACCAATTTTGTAAATTTAGTAAATGATTTTGTAAATTTAATGAGACTAGTCTGGGGTCATGGTGTTTTGTTAAAATTGTTGTATCGTCAGCGTAAGTAGCAGTCAATGTTTCAGAGTTGGTAGGCATGTCATGCGTATAGACAATGTAGAGTAAAGGTGCCAATATTGATCCTTGAGGTACCCCTGCTGATACTGGTCGAATTGAGGAAATTTCTAAACCCTGTCGGACAGAGAAGAATCTGTCGAAAATGAAAGATTGGAGAATGAGATAATATGTATTAGGCAGTATAGTTTTGAGTTTGAAGAGAAGTCCCTGGTGCCAGACTTTATCAAATGCCTGGGCAACATCCAGAAATACGCCGGTAGCATATTGTTTTTGCTCTAGCGCTCCAGCAATGTAGTCAGTAACTCTGTGTAATTGGTGTGTAGTTGAATGAAATGTACGAAAACCGAATTGATGGTCAGGTATTATTTGTTGGTCTGTCAGTATGTCAACCATTGTATTAGTCAAACAATGTATTAGTCGTTTAAGTTCGTTATTTAGTCTGTTAAATGTCCGTCTATCTGAGGGAAGTCTGTTAGTCTGCCATACCTTACGTGCTCTCCTCTTTGCCGCGATCAAGTCCCTAATATATTGAGGATATCTTGGCAAGTGTTCTGCTCTTGATGACCTTGGTAGCGATGAAGACCAAGCTGCTTTTTGGACACTTTTTGTAAATTTGTCCACTGCCTCTTCTAGTTCATCTGCTGTTTTAATGGAGCCAGGGATTGAAAGTTCTGAATCCAGAATTTCCCTGTAAGCATCCCAATCCATTTTACCATTAAGGAGCTTAGGGGTTCGTGGAAGATTGATGGGCTCATCAAGGATAACCAAATGTATAAGGGAATGGTCAGAGCAAAGATCAGAGCTCGTATTTATGGTGTAAGGTATGGTGCGCAGTCCTTTGGTTATAAAAAAGTCTAGTAGGTCTGGGGATTTACGTTGTGAAGTCTGCCAATATGTCGGTGTATCAGGTGATATAGTGTCTAATGAAAGCTCGTGGATAGCAGCCCTCAGATTTCTTCCTCTTGGTGTGCACAGCCGTGACCCCCAAAATTGGTGCTTTGCGTTAAAGTCACCGCCTACTATAAAGCAACGCCCAAGGCTTTGAAAATAGTTGCAAAACATCGAAGGTGTTAATACGTACCTCGGAGGACAATATACTGAAGCTATTGTTATTGTGTGATGTTTGGTGTGTAGTGTTAAGCCTGTGGTTTGAATGTCAGGTGTAGTAGGTAAGTATAAGGGATTATGTGATAATGATGTCTTTATTAGTATTGCTGTACCACCATGAGCTGTGTTGTCCGGATGGCCTGTTCTGTAGGTATTGTAACCAGAAATATGAAATTTAGTTCGTGGTGTAAAGTGTGTTTCTGTTATCATTGCGATGTCAGTGCGTTTTTCGTGTAAATATAAGTCCAATTCTGTCCTATGTTGCGTTAGTCCGTTTGCATTCCACAGAAGGATGGACAGGGAGCCTACAGTTAGCTGATTAATGGCCATTAGGAAGACACATGCCTTGTGTTATCTGTGAGAGCTGTTGGAGGAGACTAAAAAGGGGCTGAATGAGAGTATTCAGACCGTTCAATAACTGGAATAGTTGTGGAGACATGCAGTTTTCAGCTGAAGGTAGCTGGGTACTTTTTCCCCTCATGGTTGCTGAAGGTTGAATGTTTGGAGGTACTGATGATGGAGGCAGTTCCTGAGCTTGCGGTTGCGTTTGCTTCTGTATTGGCTTCTGCTGTTGCACTGGAGGTTGCTGTTGGGGCTGTTGATGATGCTTCTGCTTCCGCTTCTTCTCTTGATATGGGCTTTGCGAAGGTTGTGGAAGATCCGGGAAATTATGAAGATTTGCAGATGGAGGTGATTCCCTCTGGTGAACATGATTCCTCTTGGTCCTCTGTGCCCTTAGATCTCTAAGGGTTTGACACCCCCGATAATTGGCCGGATGTTCGCCTAGACAATTAGCGCATTTAGCTGGAGTTTCTCTAGTTTTGCTACAAGTGGAACTGTCATGTCCTAGTCCACATCTGACGCACCGTGGTGCGTGGTTGCAATACGATCGTGTGTGACCGTATTGTTGGCATCTGACGCATTGCGGTATATGTTTCTTCCTTCTAAGTTCTTCAATTGTAACCTTTGTATAAAATAATTTAGTAATATCGAATATTTTCTCATTGAAAGTTTCTTTACTTACATCTACAAAAAACATAGGTAGTGGCCGTTTAAAACGTGAGATGGCGTTGGTAATACCTACGATTTTGTATCCGTATATTTCAAGATCTTTTTTAATCTCTTCAATTGGTGTATTGTGATGAAGGTCTTTAATCACCACGCGAGGATTTCTATCCTCAGGAAGCTGATAAGTATGAAATTCGGCTCCGCTGTTTTTCAAGCAGTTAACTATTTGCCTGTAATTGTTTGGGGTCTGGGGGTAAATAGTTACTCCCTTAGAAGTTGTTTTTAGCAAAAAGGAATCTGGTCCTGAATTGGATTGTAAATAAGACACAAGAGCCGCGTAGTTTTCGACACCGGTGATGTAGATTGGTGGTGGATTCTTAGTATTATTAGATGGTGGATTAGCAGAAGAAGTTTGACATTGGTCATTAGTACTAGAAAGAACCTGGAAACTATTGCTAGTAGTTACCACTACTTCCTGTTTTTTCTGTTTCCTCGGGTCCCTGTTTTCAGTAATGTTTCGTTTTCTTCCTGTTACCAGTTCCCATGCTCCTCTGTCGTTGCCTGGGCACGGAGCATTGTCATAGCAATCCATACGAGCCGCAGCTTGGGCTGCCTCGGCCTCCTTCGTAACAGCGGCTGATTCCGCCTCACTCATAGGTACTTCGAATCTAAGCTTCAATGTTTTAGTTCGCCTAGTTATTTAGGTAAAAATAACTCTTAATCCCGCAGTTATTTCCAAAATTTTTATAGACGAAAACAAGTCTTAAAGTAAAAAAAAAAAGTAATAAAAAATACAAAGCGTTGATAACTATGTTTTTCATTATTCATGGGAATATGCACCTTCATTGGGTTTCTGAAGATTAAACTATTAACTAACATTAATTCATTCACGTTTTTGCTGAGAGAAAAAGCGGTACGCGTCCTGAAGTTTCCAAAAATGGGAGATTCGCGTTGTAGAGATAGAGAAGGGGCATATATTGCAGGTATTAATAACTGAATGTATATGCAATTAAATTAAAATGTTTTAGAGTATCGTTATCGTTTTTAATAGCCACTTCTCGTAGACCATTTTTCAACAAAGACTCTACAGTAATAAATAAGTGATGAGGAAAGTATTTTTATCTTGTACAACACACGAGATAGAATTTGATTCCAAAGATTTCTCAGACAGTTCCTTCAGAATTAGTCTGTTTTAAACTAGGTTTCATTATTGAATTTTCACGGAGTGTTAAAAATATTTTTTCTTTCTTCTCTATGAAGTTATAAAAAGTTTGTAGTTCTTACACAAGTATGACGTGAACAGCACTTATAAAGCTATAAACATAACTATAAAAAAAGCTGTTTTTAATTTTCCCTTTTATCTGTAGTTAATTCCAGTACCGATATAGGCTGATTTTAATTTTATTGTCAGAGAGATATCTGCGCGCGATATATGTTGTATGATGAAATTAATTTACTCATGTTGAGAACATAAAGAACTTATGCCTAACATTTCGTAAGATATGCATTAAACAGAATCAAAAACACATATGCATAAAACAAAGCTGTTAACATTTTGTTACTCAAATATTTCCTGCATTTTCTCCCTTCCCCATTTTT